TCTCTAAAAATGCTTTTTAATGTGTAATGAACACAATGAAACTCCATTGAAGGCCACTGGCATACTTTTACCATGAAGTCAGGCATAAAGATCAGTCCTTTTAGATTTTGCCATAACTTGACCACTTTTAACCTCAATCTCTACCACTTCTCACATGTCCTCTCTCAACCTACCACTCCCAATTCCATTCTTCCTCAGAGTGTTTCTATCCAGTCTTCTATTTTCACAGTGATGGTATTTGTTAGTGACAGAGATTTTGGATGGATCTCCAGTGAGTCTTAGACTCTGAATATGCATATTAAAGAAATTGGAGAAGGCTTAGTTTCTTCAAATCCTTGACTATGCAAAAAGTAGTTTCAGACTTTAACATTTTAAAATTGGAGAATCTATTTTCCTGTTGAGTATTCACTCATTTAGCAAATATTTGATTGCATACCTTCTATATACTTAGGCACTGTTTTTTTTTTTAAAGATTTTATTTATTCATGAGAAACAGAGAGAGAGGCAGAGACACAGGCAGAGGGAGAATCAGGCTCCATGCAGGGAGCCTGACGTGGGACTTGATCCCAGGACCCTGGGATCAGGCCGAATGCAGATGCTCAACCACTGAGCCACCTAGGGGTCCCTAGGCACTGTTTTAAATAACATTATATCCTGTTAGAGGGGAGGAGGGGAGGGAGACGGAGTAACGGGGTGATGGACATTAAGGATGGCACTGGGTATTATATAAGACTGACGAATCACTGAACTCTATCTCTGAAACTAATAATACATTATATGTTAATTAATTGAATTTAAATTAAAAGATTAATTTAAAAAATAACATTATATCCCTGAGTTCATGGAATTTACATCCTAAATGGGAGAAAGAGAGAGAGAGAGAGAGAGAGACATCAAATGGTAAAAACATAAGTCTATAATGTCAGACAGTGATACATACCATAAGGAAAAATCAGGCAAGATGAGAAGAGTATTTTGGGTTGAATTGTGTCCCCTCCAAAATTGAAGTCCCAGTACCTGTAAATGTGACCTCATTTGGAAATAGGATCTTTGCAGATGATCAAATCACAATGAGGCCATTAGAGTGGGCCCTAATCCAATGACTAGTGTCCTCATAAAAAGGGGAAATTTGACACAGAGACGTGCCCACAAGGAGAATGTCATGTGAAGATGAAGGCAGAGATCTGGGTGTTGCTTCTACAAGCCAAGGAACATCAAAGATCGCCAGCGAACCACCAGAAGCTAGGAGTGAGACATGGAGTAGATTCTCTCTCATGGCCTTCAGAACAAACCAATTCTGTCAACACCTTGATCTCAGACTTCTGGCTTCTAGAACTCTGACACTTCTGTTGAAAAGGTCTCCAAATGGTAGTACTTTGTTATGACTGCCCTACGGAAAGTAAGATTTTAGATGGGGTGATGGGGGAAGTTCGCATCTGAAAGGAGAAGAGGATATAGGTCAAGAAGGTAACTGGAGAAAGCACAGACCAGGTAGAGGGAATAACAAGTGCAAATCCCCTCTGGTGGGAGCACACGAGTGGCAAGTGTAAGGACTGCCACAGTCAGGGTTCCTGAAGCATGGTGAGCAACATGAAGGAAAGTGAGGGAGATAAGGTCAGACGCCCATAAGGTAGGGACCAACTGGCCACGTGTGGATAACGGCTTTCTTCCCCAGGTAATAAGAGAAGCCACTGGAGAGCTGTGGGCAGAGAAATGACATCATTGTCAAAAGTAGCATATTCAGTTTTCTGTTAACCAGAAAACAAGTTCCAAGTTCCTGATTGATGGTTTCACTTATGCACCTGTTCTAGCCAGGAGTCCTGGGGTTGCAAGTGACAGAGATTCAGCTCAAGCTCTCCTTTCTTTTTTTTAATTTAATTTTATTTTATTTTTATTTATGATAGTCACACACAGAGAGAGAGAGTGAGGCAGAGACACAGGCAGAGGGATAAGCAGGCTCCATGCCCCGGGAGCCCGACGTGGGATTCGATCCCGGGTCTCCAGGATCGCGCCCTGGGCCAAAGGCAGGCGCCAAACCACTGCGCCACCCAGGGATCCCCAACTCAAGCTCTCCTAAGCAAGGGAGGGAACTTATTAGCTCACGTAACCAAAAAGGCCATGAGTATTTAGGCAGAGCTGGGGATCAACCCATATCATCAATAATCTGTCCCCTTTTCTCCTTCTTTCAGTTCTCCTTTCCTCTATGTTGACTTTGTTTGCAGATAAGCTTTTATTATTATATGGCAAAAGAACCACCAGTAGCTCCAGACTTCATGCTTCTTAGTATTAGATATGCCAGGAGAGATTCTTTTTCTCCTACCATTCACATAATCCCCCAAAGAATGCTGGTTGGCTTCCTTGATTATGAGCCTAGTCCTATAATAACCGGTGGTGGTTTCTAGAGATAGTTCTTTGGCTGAGTGGCCTACATCACATATCCACTTCTATAGCAAGGAAGCAGACCCACAGGTTGCACTATCTAGGTGGGTGAGAAGCATTTACCAAAAGAAAGAGTTATGTGGGGGCCACAGAGCTGTACAGCTTCAGAATTCTAATTCATGTTATAGTCTACATGGATGCGACCCACTGCAGTGCACAACCCCCGAGAGGCCTTATGGTAGTCCTTGGTACTCTAACCTGAGGAAGGGGGAAAAGAAGCTGTGCAGGCAAAAAGGGCAGGCATCCTCTAGTACATCGTTTTTTTTTTTAAGATTTTATTTATTCATGAGAGGCACACACAGAGAGAGAGAGAGAGGCAGAGACACAGGCAGAGGGAGAAGCAGGCTCCCTGCAGGGAGCCTGATGCGAGACTTGATCCCAGAACTCTGGGATCACACCCTGAGCCAAGGGCAGACACCCAACAGCTGAGCCACTCAGGCATCCCTCCCCTAGTACATCTAATTACAGAGCTAGTCATTTGTAACTTTAAGAAAGAACTTTTTTTTTTAAAGACTTTATGCAAAGTTGGCTGGACTTCTGGTTTCCTGGAACAAAATATGACTCATAAAATGCAAATCTACAGCAGATATATAAACATATTTATTTCTTCTAAAGAATGATATCCAATAGTCCTATTTATGGCATATCTTAGGCTTAAGTCAAGTAAATAATTCACCTTTGATAACAGTAGTATAAATGGAGCTGTGATTCACAAGTGCATGGTTCTACCTAAGGACTCTGTGCATTCATTTATTACACAGTTATAGACTGGCCCCTAATATTGACAGGTTCCATGCCAGGAATTATAAATATGGCGAGGAGACCAAACAAACCTTGTTCCTGTCCTCATGGGTAAGATGGATATTAGACAATGAACACACAAATAATATATGATTATACTGTGGTAAGTAGGAAGAAGGAAAAGAACTGGGTTTTATCAGAGAAAATTAACAAAATTGGGGTTGATTTAGATCAGGATCAGGGATTCATCTGAGGTTGTGCCATTTAGGCAGAATGCTGACGTATATATAGGAATTAGCCAGATTTGAAGAGTGGGAGAGGAAGGGAAAGTATTCCAGGCAGAGGGAATAATATGTACGAAGGCCTTAAAGAGTTTCAGATATCACCAACACCCCTGCCCAGGCCCAGGGACGTGACCCCAGACGCCTACCAATTCTATTGTCCATTTCATTTTTATTGTTGCTTTCCAATGATATTTCAAATTAACTAAATCACACACATTCCCCTTTCATCATTATAGGATAGATAGAATGTTTAGATTTTCTCCTCTGACTATAATTTTTTAAAAAAGATTTTATTTATTTATTCATGAGAGATGCAGAGAGAGGCAGAGACCCAGGCAGAGGGAGAAGCAGGCTCCCTGTGGGGAGCCCAATGGGGACTTGATCCCAGGACCCTGGGATTACACCCTAAACCAGAGGCAGATGCTCAGCCACTGAGCCACCCAGGAGTCTGTGTACAGTTTGTTTGTTTTTTTTTTAAGAAATTTATTTTTTATTTCTGTTTTTAAGATTTTATTTATGTTTGACAGAGAGAGAGAGAGAGAGAGAGAGAGAGAGAGAGAGAGAGAACAAGCACAAGCAGGGGAATGGCAGGCTGAGGGAGAGAGAGAAGCAGACTCTCCACTGAGCAGGGAGCCCGATGTGGAGCTCGATGACAGGACCCTGGGATCACAACCCGAGCTGAAGGCAGACACTTAAACTAATTGAGCCACCTGATTATAATTTTTATATATTAATGTATATTAATGTATTAATGTATTAATATATGACGATGGCAAAGTGATCAAAAGTGGAATTAATGAAAGGATGATTGTAATTATTTCATGTTGGCAATATATTTTCAAGTGTTTTGCAGTCATTTACCACTTCTGTTTCTATAACTTTATGGTAGGAAAGAAGAGAACAAGAGGACTTAGAGCTGAGGATGCCAGCTATGGAGAGGCGGTTAGTATTTACAGGTAATTCTCTAAGGTTCTCTTCTGGGCTCTGCTAAGTGAAGGACAGAAGTCTGGGTACTGACTACTGGGGAGGAGGTAAAACTTGGATGTCATGGTCCAGGCCCTTGATCAATCAAGGTCCAAACAGAAAATAGATGGCACACTCAGAAGGGTCTTGGTCTCCTGCTTTTCTAGTTTTAGAGTTATTTGTTGCTTTTTTTTTCTACTCAGTCAACTCCTAAAAAAAGTATAGCCCAATAGATTTCTGCAATCATGTGTACCTGAAATATGTAATGACAAGATACTTGAAGAAAGGTACTTTTGTCATACTATTATTACCTTTATTGTTCATCTTGGTTTTTCAAATTATAGGAGTTTTTAAATATGAAAAACAACACAGAGAGTAAGATAATGTGTACTCATATATCCACCACTCTGATTTAGAAAATGTTAATATTTTGACATTTTTTTCCAAATTTTTAAATAAAACATCACAGCATGCAAGGCTTCTTGTTACTTCTCCTTACCCCCTATTTATTCATTCATTAATGCCTTCATTCATTACTTTCATTTTTAAAAGGTTTATTGAACAACTACTTACCCTGCTATAAAAGCCATGGGATAAACACAAGATTGAGACTTATTTCCTTTCCTCAGGGTGTTACCAATCTAGCAATGATATCCTCAAAATGGTTGGTTGGTTGTTTTCAGTAGGTAGCTGTGAACATATAAAAGGAGGGGAAAAAACTAGAGAAATGTCAGCTTCTACAGCGAAAACCAAAGAGTGAGATGGATAAAACTCCAATTGCACTAACACAGTGACCATTTTGCCTCTTTCTGTTTCTGATAGAATTGTATGGTAGATGCCCTTTTAGCAAATGAAAAACCTGCTACTAAATAGGTATTTGACACTGGTTAATTTTTATATGCTAGTCTGTGCTAAGCATATAGACAATACTAAATGCTCAAAAGAAACATCAATAGATTACTTTCAGGTCTAAAACTGCGTAATTGTATACATTTTTAAAATTGTACTTGAGGGTGAGTACCCTACATTGGAAAGCATAATGCATTCAGAATCCTCTTATTCATAATTGACGGTAAGTTCTCCAAAATCAGATAACAGGAAGGCCTGCCTATTAGATGAGTAGTGGAAACTTTTCACAAGGGAAACTATTCCTTTCAAGCTTGAATTTCTTCACATTCTGCAATTCTGCTGGGTCTGGGTTGTCTGGGTCGGCAATCGGGAAGATTGCAAGTCTGTGTAGTATCTTGGTTGCAAATTAGGAGGTATCCCCTCTGGGCTCATAACAGCCCTGCCAACTTGTGCCTCTGTGGGAAAAAACAGGTTCTCTTTCCTCAGAGACAGCCCCAAACCAGTCCACACCAGCCCCACTCACCCCCTTGGCCCAGCATGTTTGTGCACTGCACACACTGCACAACCAGGTGCCTTGTTTCCAGTGCCAGAAAACATGGCTCTCAGCATACTACACCAAACACCTCCCAACGCCGGGCACTTGGCCAGGTGCTGGAAATAAAAAGAGGAATAAGACAGAGTCTACCTTTGGTGTCTGGGAAGTGGGCCATATAAACAGATACCACAATAAGAGCTAGTAAAGTGATCAAAGAGAAATGCAGACAGGATCACAAATGAAGGAACTGCTCATTTTTCTTGGATGGGGCTGGGGTCAAGGCAAATTCACAAAGTACAAGGCTTTGGAATTGGGGTTCATAGGATGAGTAGAGGTTCATGAGGTGGGTAAAGGGCAACAGGGCTTTTGATAACAAGGAGAAGCCTGGGAGTCTCTTCCTGCAGCCGTAGCCTCAGGAAAGCCTAGGGCTGCAGCTTCATCACTTTGATCTAGGTTTTGGGTCCCACCATTTTCGTTGGGTTTGTCTATGTCTCTTTTTGTCTTTGAAGTGATCCAGACAAGCTCAGCAGTGGGGCTCGTATAAACAGTGTAAAAAGAAAAAACAGTGTTCACTTGCCAGCAATGTCCCCCCACATAGCTCTCTTGGGAGTCTGGAGAGGCAGGAGATGGCTGGTCAAAGGCCAGGGATTTGGGAACATTGCCAAATGGCCTCCTTGAAGATACAGCACACAAGGACATTCCAGGAAGAGGGAGCAGTATAATACCACAGTATTTTGTTTGCCAGATGGAAATATCCTTAGTGACAAACATATTTAATTTGGCTGCAGGTGTGACCTTTGATTATGCAATAGAATTGTGCAGCAGCTAGAATGTAATTTCTGAACGACCTAGGCTGCTTATTTCCCTAGAATGATTAGTTAGTTTTGCCCAGAAAAGCTGTTCGAAGACCACAGACTACATTTCTAACTCTAATGAACCTTTCCCTCTCTTGGCGCGATCTACTGGTTGCTGGAAGAATTGGGAGGAAGCATGCGCATAGCACAGCTCCACAGAAGCCACTGTCACTCTCAGAAAAACAACTAGGTGCATGTCCCTTGGGCAGGGAGTTAGAGGGCTTCTCCAGGTCATTCAGGGAGAGTGGTCCAATGCCTGCAGCGGACTGATTGTAGAGGGTGGGGGATCAGAGGCAACAACCTTTACTTCTTCCCCCATGGTAGGGACTCTGGTGTTGCTGTGAGGTACTGAAAGGGCGGTGGCCTCTGAATCTTGTTTGTGGAGTTCAAGGAGGACTAGAAGCTTCACTGGGCACTGTGCACCACAACAAGGACAACAAAAACAAACCTGCTGACTGTGTTTTTACTGATTAGTTCCAAACTAGCTATTCCGGGCCACACACTCTTAAACTAGGTTCTCCTTTGATGACCTCTATGTTGAAATAAAAGGAGGTGGTGAGTAATGCAGCACCAGCCCTCGGGAACTGCCTGAGGGCCCTCATTGCAACAATCTGATAACAGCAGAAAGCACTGAGGAGTATCTCCCCACCCATGTTTGTGATCCTCCAGTGCCCAACACCCTCCTTCTGAGGCTCCCACTGACCAGGGAATGGAGAACCTTGGCCCATATTAGTATCCAGGTAGGAGTCATCAATGAGAACAGGAGACAAACTCAAGAACACTTTGTAAACACAAAAGAACATTCCTACAAAGTAGGCAGGCCCATTAAAACATGGCAGGTAAAAAAAATAAATATATATATATTTTTAAAAAGATCAAGTTTAGCCACAGAGAGTTGAAGGATATGCCAACCTGTATTTAAGGACCCCACAAAAGGGGATCACATGTCTATGAATATCTTTGGGAAAGTATCATGCACCAAAATGTCCTCAATTCCCCTAAAAGACTTCACATTCTTCAGCTCAGGAATGAAAAAGATATGTCGTTCCACCAGATACATATGCCAAAAATCCAGGAACCATCATTTATTTCTCTCTTTTCTCCATTACTTTCCCCCATCAGTCTGTCAGCAAGCTGATCTTCAAATTATATATTGATTTGTCCATCTCTTTTTATGTTCATGACCACCATCCCAGTCCAAGCCACAATAACCTCTTGCCCAGACAACCTCAAAATCCTACTCACTGGCTTCTCTATATTCACTTTGGCTCCCCTCCATCTCAGATTGCAGTATGGGAAGGTCTTTCTAAGCATAAACTGATAGAAGAAATGAACAAAGGAAGAGTTATATATATATTTGACAACAAAGAAGGCCTAAAAATTTGAATGTCCAAAAAACATCACCACACATATCTCTTAGCAGAAGTGAGAGGGTTGGGGCAGAGAGAAATTTCACTTTCTACTATACATGTTTCTGTATGATTTCATTTAAATTACACACAGCAAAACATATTATAAACAACTGAAAATAAGCAACAAACTGGAAAAATATTTGACACAAATATGGTAAGACTTAATAGATTTGACAGTCTTAATATACAAAAGCTCATCCAAATCAAAGAGAAAAACATTAAGACCATCAGCATTTAAAATGGGTAAGGAAAAGGGCGCCTCGGGGGCTCAGTAGGTTAAGCAACCAACATTTGGTTTCTGGTCAAGTCATGAGCTCATGGGTCGTGGGGTCAATTGGGCATTGAGCCCCTAGGGAGTTGGGCTATGCACCCAGCAGAGTCTGCTTGAAGATTCTCTTCCTCTGCCCCTCTCTCCACTGGTGTATGTGTGTGTCCATGCATGTGCTCTCACTCTCAAATGAACAAATACACTTTTAAAAAATGGGTAAGAAAAAAATTATACTTTGAAATAAACTAGGTTTTTTTTTTTAACTACTAGTTTTTTAACAAAAAATGAGTAAGGATATCGACACTAAATCACTGAAAATCAAATATAAATATGTAGTAAAGAAAAAATGTCCTATCTCACTAACAGTCACATAAATGAAAATTAAAAGTGAGATATCACTTTTTACATATTACCATGACTTTTAAAATTTTTAATAAATCAATCACTTTAATCATAATTTCTTTGTGGGAATATATAATTTCTTTGGTAATAATTTTGGCAATGTCAAATATCTTAAAACTTCACAGCCTTTTTTTTTAAGATTTTATTTATTTATTTGAGAGAGAGAGTGAGAGAGAGAACAAGGGGTGAGGAGGGGTGGGTTTTAGGAGAGAAGACTCCCCACTGAGCAGGGAGCCCTCCACAGAGCTAGATTCCAGGACCCTGAGATCATGACCTGAGCCAAAGAAAGATGCTTAACTGACTGAGCCACCCAGGTCCCCCAAAAGTCCACAGCCTTTGACTGGTGATTTTATTTCTAGGACTTTATCACAAGGTAATAATATCACAGATATGGACAAAGATTAAACGACAGTGTTTCATCTAAGAATTATATATAAAATCAAAAATTGGAAGGATCAAATAACAAGAGCACAGTTAAATCAATAGTGTTACATCTATCAGTAAGATAAGTTATAATAGTGTCAACAAAAATATTTATGAAAGCTCAGTATAATAAAAATACCTATTTTCCATAAGTTAAATATAAATTTAACATAATTCCAATAAAAATACTTTCAGTTTTTTTTTTCAATAGAAAAACTGATCCTAAAGGTCGAATAGAAAAAATTAACAACAATGGCCAGGAAAACACTGGCAAGGGAAAAGAGCAATGAGAAAGCACCAGTATTAGCAGATATATATGAAAACATATTTTATGCAATAGTTAAGAGAGTACTAGAATATTAATAGACAAATGGAACAGTATAGACACCAAATACATACGTTAGTTCATTCCATGGAAAGGGAAGCATCTCAAGTCAAAGAGGAAAAGGTAGACCCATGAATAAATGATGTCAAGACAAGTAGAAAGATACAAACAGTTGGATCTATGTCTTTGCAACATTTGTCTCCTCCAAAAAAACTCAAGAAAGACAAAGAAATATAAAAACTAAAACTATGGAAGTACTAGAAGAAAACAAAGATTAAAAACATTTTTTAATGGGAAGGTCTTTATAATGATGATTCAAAATCTAGAAGCCATAAAAGTAAATATTGATGAAGTCTGGCTATATAAAAATATATTATAAAATTTGTACATGGGAAGATTCTACAAGAAAAGTCAAAGCCAAAACAAACTGGGAAAAAAAGTGATCTATGTCCCAGACATAGGGCTAATCTCTTTCATGTACACAGAGCTACTATAAATCAGTATGGGAGGCCTGTAACCTATAGAAAAGTGGGCAAAGCTTATGAAAAGACAGGTTCGTTCCATACACATTTTAGGAGTGTGTGTTCCAGCTCTGTGAGAAATGCTGATGGCATTTAAATAG